ATTACACGGTTTGTCAATCTATACTCATGAGTGGAGAGAAGCGCTGACATAGTTAAGTGTCTTTCCCTTCAATATAACATACTGAACTGGCCAGTGCTGTACCCAGATCTCTACTTATCTCGCAGTCAGTTCTCTCTTAGGTTTCTCCCATCTCGTTCCCAGGGCATGTTTGGTCAGTTTTCAAGATGGCAGCGGATTGAAAGGGTTTCTTTAGACCGGCCACCATCTTGGAAAAACCTGACCGAGAAACCCTGAGGACGAAGTTGGTGTCTTTTAGCAGTACATAAGGCCCCGCCCCCCCCCCTCCCCTGAAAGAAATATCTCTTGGGGGAAGTGTTGCTCGATATCCTAAAGAACAACTGCGCGGCACACTACCTTTTGTATTGATAGAAAATATGCTCCCTCCCCTCCCTTGTACCTCCCTCTAGCACACCAGGCGCACTGGAATCAAAATTCTTTTCTTTGCCTCAAATCACACCCGGCGAGGAAGTATTTTCCAAATCAGAAAGGCCTTTCCTTGGGCGCGGGTAGGTTCCGCCAAGTAAACAGCGCTTGCGCAGATAAAAATGCCACAAGGCTGTGACACATATCACTATGAGCAGCGTGACAAAAGAGCCGAGGAAAAAACCACCAGTTCCCGAAAGTCTGGGTTCCTTAGTTTCCAAAGTAGGACAAACGGTCTGCTGTTGCGTTACTTGGCAGCGTGACAACTGGGTGTTGCCACATGCGTGACACCACGAGGTAATGTCACGAACTTGGAGAGATTTCACAAGTTTTACAAACTCGTCCAGTTCGCATGTGTCCTTGCACTCGGGAATGCTGTATTTTACCAGTGGCTCCTGAGGAGAAAAAAAATCCCATGCTTTACCAGGATAACAACGTATCGTATGAAACACTAAAACCTTTTTATTACTACTTTTCGCGGTCGCAAAGTTTTGCGAAAACTCACGGCAAGAAACCAAGCACTTGACTTAGCGCAATTTTTAACGGTTGTGAGACAACTTTTTGACGTAAGCGTACTGATGCAATATGGTCATGCCTCAGCCTCACAATTTCCGAGTTATGTTCTTTTTCTCCCACCGGATGACAAGCTCGCGATTATTTTGACGTAAGGAAAATCCCGAGTGCCGCAAAAATATTTAACAGTGTGGCGCACTTTGTGCTTCGTGTGAAAACCGAAAAAACGTCATCTAGAGATCGCTCAATATAAAATGCGAAAACAGAATAACCAACGGAAACTATTTTCATCAAGACTACAGCCACTCCATGTTGTAAGACACTGGCCAAGATACAACAGAGAGCATTTCACACCACTTTGCCCACAGAAAAAAAAATTGTGCAAGAAAGATAACGAGGATTTCGGAACTTCCGCTGAAAAAATTATAGCGACGTGCCGATAAAAAAGTTCACATCTGGTTTTCACTAGCTACGCAAGCACAAACGCAAGCACAAACGCAAAGACAACAGCTGTTATTTCACCGTGAACACGGCTAAGACGCAAGCGCAAGCACAAGGATGAGAATTCTTCCTTTGTTTTGTGCCAGCACTTGTGCTTGCGTCGAGGCGGTCATCTCTGTGAAGCTTATACTTGACTTTGCGCTTGCGTCGCAAGTGAAGACCAGGCTACGAATAATTTCACACTATTCTTTTTTCTTGGGTTCCTTAGCTCTTACGTGAAGGAAAAAACAGGGTGCACTAGCTGTTGTTAAACTTCAACAAGCCTTCTGGAAAATGCCGATTTTCTGAACCAATATTACGAATTTAAAAAGTCGCAAAGCGCTTACCTCCAAACCATTCTTGAAAGAAAACTGAACGATCATCTTACCAGTTGACTTATCATGTATCAGCTCAATCAATATCAAGGAAGCATAGTAAGGAATTTTTCTCAAGGCACTTTTAGCCGCTTTATTTAAACCAAGCGAGGAAAACAGAGAAAACATCGTTGGATAATGTGCAGAGTAATACAAGAGCTGAAAAATAAGATACATAACTGGTGAAGTCAAAGCTGACGTTTCGAGCGATAGCGCTTCGTCAGAGCGAATGACGTAAGGCCAAAGCTCAAAATATAGCTTAGAAACTCTTTACGGTGGCCAATTTACGACATCAAATAGTACCAAATTACCTTGTTATACTCTTCCACCGACGCAGCACCACAGTTTCTTTAGAAACCTACCCCCTTTATCCTTTTAAGCTCTCTACCTGAACGATTACAAGACCCCTGATTTTAACAAACGCATGTCACTTATTTGATATCTCTTTACTAGTTGCGTCACCTACACATTTTTGGTGTTATCAAGCATATCAATTCCACCAACTCCACGAACTCCAGTAGCAAAAGACATGTTTTGTTCTGTCCACATGCATAGAACACGAACAGTCCCTCATTCTCAGTAAAGTCCGGCGCGCGATTCCAAAAAATCAGCGAAAAAAAAACCAATAGATGTTAGCGTGCGCAGAACCCTGGGAGTAAGGCGCACGAAAATGAGTCTCATTCCCAGAGTTCCGCGCGGTGTGCCGAGCTGCAGACTACAGGTCTCGGACCCGGACGTCTCCACTAAGGGTACAACATTCTCCCTTAGTTGGGGTCCTCATGTCTTCCACATAGTAATGCCTCTTAAACTCAATAGGAGGCATTGAGGAGGTTAAAAACACCTTAAGCTATCAACAGCATATTAGCTATTAAGAGACAAACCTTTGCCTTGGTCTTTTTAGCTGCAAAGTCACTGAAGCTCTCTGCAATCTCATTAGCCAACAGCCCTCCACCTATATCACCAATCATTTCTTTGCTGTATTTATGATACTCAACCCAGTCAGCCAGATACACAACTTGATTCCACTGCTCAGCAGAAATATTCAGATAGGTGTGGTTATACAGTTGATGAAGATGAATAAAATCATACCTGCCAGAAAATAACAATATCACTGCACTGTTTGGTGGATACACTCCTCCATGTTATGGAGAGTAGCAACAAGGGGGTCCTGATCCCCCATTATAAAAACATTTTAAGAAAAAATAATGAGCCACGTGTACTTTAAATGCCATTTCATGCATCACAAATTTAAAAGAGAAAACTTCAAATCTCTCTTCTTGTGTACAAGGTTTTAGGGAAATATTGAGGTTTTCCCAAAATGAAAGAAAAATTCATAGGTCACATATATTTCAGGAAGTAGATTAAACCTTGCAGCATTTCATGGATTCACACATCATGCTTGCCTTCTTGTTCAATTCACCTGTCAGATATTAGCTGTAGCCTTAATCAAATTTCAAGCATACACTACAGACCCTTTGCCATCTTTTTTTATAAAGCAATCTAAAATCATCTTCTAATAATGTCACTTACACATTGTAGAAGTCTTTAAGGTCAATCTTCTTAACACCCAGAATGTTTTCAAGCTGTTTTCTTAGTTGTGTGCTGTCACTTTCCTTTTTCTTAAACTCTAAGCTTGTGTAAAACTCCGCAAGTTTTTTCTGAAGCTCAGGGCAAGCCAGCCATGCTCTAAGCACCTGATCATTTTCTGCTGCAACTGTGTGTATTGGAACCTGTCAAAAAATAAATAAATAAGAAGATAGAAATACAAATAATAAGTGAATGAGTAAATAATATCCAACCATTTAACCCCTAAGAGTTAAAAACATCCAACCTCTCCTCACAAAATCACTTACGGCATTGAACACTAAGGTCATGTACGTAAAGAATATTATCACCAAATAAAGAAGTTCTTGATTGTTCAACAAAATCTCCTTGTGAGCACTGTGGGAAAAGTATCAACAATAGAATTTACAAGATTACCACTCACAGCTGTCATCAGGATATCTTTATTATCATTATTGCCACAATCCTATGGTGAGGGCCAATAAGACTGGAAAAAGGTGTGGGAATTGTGAGCAGGAGGAGGGAGGGGGAGGGTATGAAGTGCAGCTGCCTGACTGCAGATAAACTATAGCTTGATAGTAATAGGACTGAGTGGGTTCAAATTCAGTCTGTAATAAGGTCGTCTGACTTAGTAAGTGAATTAGTGGAAAGTACCATTTTTTTCAAAACTGGAAGAAGGTGTGGGATAGGTTAGAGGGGGTGTATGTCATGCAGCTGCCAGACCTCGGATGAACAGGTTAGAGGGGGTATAGTCATGCAGCTGCCAAACCTCTGATGAACCGCAGCCTGATATTAATCATAAAGAAAAAAAAAAACAAACCTGCTGTATGTTGTAAGGTGCATAGAAAACTTGCCCAGCATAGGAAACATTAAGGGACTGATTTCTTGGTGGATAAAGTCCAAGAAGAAAGCTCAATGCACTAAAAGATAAAACATGGATATTAACCTTTTGAATCCTAAGAGTGACTAGCATCTAATTTCTCCTTACAATATCAGCCCTTAATCAAACATTAAGGTCATGAGAATAAATGCAATGATCACTGACTAACAAAGCTCCTGATTGTTAAACAGATTCTCCTTGTCAGCATCTTAAGAAATGAATGGGGATTAGTAAGGAGAATATGTATACTGATGTTATGGTGTGAAGAGTTTAGAAATGTAATTGTAGCACACTATTACTCTATTTGTGAAGTATTTGTGAGCATTTAAGTTCTACCTCCTCAACTGTCAGACTAATGTCTTGTTTAATAAACCATGCATATTGTTAGATAATAATTTAATGTGTGTATCTATGAGACAATGACATGCCCTGTATGTGTGTACTTTAATCCAGATTGATGTCGGTTTGTTTGATAAATGCACTGTATTTTGCATATGGCTGCAACAGTTTGTCCTGTTTTCTACAGGATGAAGCAGGATTGAAATCTTCTCCTCCCTAGATGGGATGTTAGTGAATTACAGGTTACACCCCTGGATTTCACCTACTTTCCCTTACAGTTGAATGTGGTTAATGCTAAAACCAGGGTTTTGGACCAGGAGTCCAGCACACTAAGGATGATACCACAACATCTAATCTTTGGCTTCAAGAAATACTGTAACACAATGATCTGGAACTCTTAAAAAACTGTCTTCTGTTAGACAATTTACCTGTTAAGTGTTCTGGAATAGTCACTAGACCTCACATACACATCCTGAGGTAAATACACATCAGACAAGAAGCCAGCTTTTTGATAATGTTTTCTAACAAACTCTCCAGCTTGGAACATTTGATTCATTCCTCTTATCGTCAGCTGACTGTCACTTCCTTCCTCAAAGGTGCTGTGATCTTTGGCAAGAAGTGTACGGCTTCCATGACGTGATATCACAACTGCTTGCTGAATGTCGAATTCTTGAACGAGAAAACAAATTAAATTTTAATTATTAATTCTTTGACTCGTTAGGGTGACTAGCATCGAATTCCTCACCGCTGAATCAAACATTAAGGTTGATAAGGTTGATAAAGGAAATGATTACCAACCACAAAAGCCCTTGATTGTTAATCAATTTCTCATTATCGGTTTCTTGAGAAATATATAAAAGCAGTATGGAGAATATGCATACTGATGTTAGGGTGTAAAGGGCATGTAAACGTGGCATATCCTTTTTTCTGTTATATGGAGCAACCAAGAGTGTATGTACTCTCCGAAGATGCGATGCTAGTCCACTCAAGGTTCTCCACCTTCACCTCTCTCCATAAAACAAAAGTTTGAGATTTTATAATCGCCACAAACAGAAAATCAATGCCTCAACCCTGCGTACCTGCACGGACGCTGTATATTAGCTGAACTGCTAGAAGTAAATTGCACAGCTCCATTGCACTCAAAATTCCTCACGGCGACAGTTATGGCCAAAGAAAAAGAAACAAAGTCAGGAGCCACTGAAGAACACAAAGCTACCCAATTAAATATTTTCAAAGAAAAAAAATCACCTGAGCTAAGAGTGCATAGTGTGAACCACAAGATTATCACGAATTTAGTTTGGAACAGCGTGACTAGGATTGCACAACTAGCTGTCACGCGTGTTCGCTCTCGGCACGCGAAAGGGACGCGGGAGGCTGGTTCGAGTAGTTAAACAACATGGCGGACTAAGCTTGCGACTTTTCTTGAATGTCGATCGGTCGGTTAAAATTATATTCAGAGGAACCTTGATAGCCTGTGATGGCGTTCCAACCCCTAGGAGGGCAAGGTAAGTATTCCTGTCCGTAATAAAGCGATAACCAGTGACCGGATGTGGGAAGTGTCTGTGACTATCAGAAAACCCCGAGCGGTACTTATTCTTCGCTTCGAAACTCGCGGTCCTGTTTGATGCATAATTTATTGATAAGTACCCAAGTTGCCTTTCATTATTTGGCGAATCGATAAATAATTATTGATTTTCGCAAAGGCAGTTGTATGGCGAATTAGGCGTCAAAATTAAGAATTAAATGAAAGCATCAAAGGAGTAAATTTATTTAACAAAAACTTCAGATTCCAAGAAAAAATTTCATCTTTATTATATTCACTCGTTTCGGGTGAAAATAAATCTCGCTTTGATCTTTCGCGTTCTGTAATGGCAGAATCACAAAACCGGCAGATTCTTCAAGATCTTCAGCAAAAACGACAGATGCTTTTGAATCAAGGGCAAGGTGTTATGGGGTAAGTGTGGCCCAACAAATGTTTTTTTTTATTACTGGTGTTCTTCTGGTTAAAATTTTATAGTTTTTATAGCCTAGGGAGCAAAGATAAAATGCAAATTGCTTTGTTGAAATTCTGTGATGTCATCTTTTTTTTCTCTAAGGCTGTCCACTGTTTCATTGTCAGTAATGAAAGATCAAAAGTTTAGAACATTTTAGGAAATATTTGAAATGATATCTGATAACTGATGGTTAACGTTTTCCTAAGAAATATCGATTTGTTTCCTCTGCCACTCTTGAAAGGGAAACTAGCACATGATAGGTAAATAAAAGACACTTTCAATTCCCTTAGTGCAAAGAAAATTTTACATGCTAGAGGAGCATTGGCCTCCAGTCCTGCTTCATTTTTCCTCTTTATTTATTTTTTGTAGGCTAGGTTGATATAAAGGGCAATTTATTGGTTGATATATTGGCTGAGAAGCAATCAGTAATTTGTTAAGAGCTTGTCAAATGTCAGGTGTTAGTGGGCCAGTAATAATAGAATGATAAACTCTTTACTGTAGAACAACACTTAACACTTAACCAATAGTTAATAATGGTGATAGGACTGAGGGAGTTCGATTTGGTCTGCAATCATACAAGTGATAATTAAAACAAAATTGGATGACTACAAAGCTGGAGTCCAATTTGTTAATCATGAGTATGATTACAGACAGAATTATATGACATGAAGTCCTGTTACCAATTAATCAAAACTATGACAAAATTTGAGGAAGAAACTAGACATTGGTTATATGTTTTCATCAGAAAAAAAACAAGAGTTAACCCTGCAAAATGCTAGACAACACTGCATGCTTAAAGGGCTAACCAATGATGGGTTAATAGTCAATAAATAGGACAGACTCAGCTATATTGGCAAACTGTTAACCAAATATTGGCCACCACATCAATATGACAATCAACTGACATATTTAGGGCGTGAAATCCCTACCTGCTGAAAATTGAGTTTTGGAGATCAGAATTTTAATGCTATAAAACAAGCACATGTGAAGCCTTGAAAACATTTGGACAATCTTCTGTAAACTCTGCTGGTGTTTTATCTTGAGTAGTGTTAGTTTCTATCAAATGTGGCAAACAGATGATAATAACTGAAGACAATCCTCCCCCTGAAGGACTCAGTGCCACCTAGAGATTATTTTATTTTAATATTTATTTTTTTCAATTCCAGGTCAAATCTCCCCTCAAACCGCTCAATAGGACCAGAAACTTCCACTGCTCCAGTTGTAAAACTACATGACACCCCAGTAAGTGCTAAGTCCAAAGGCATTAATCTTCAAATGTAAATTAAATAATGAACTCTATGCTTTTATTGACAGGTCATTCGCAACCCAGCTGACATGTCACTAAGTCAGCGGCAGGCTCTTGAGGTAAGTATATACCTTTACAAAGAAAAAATAATATTATTTTCAAGGGGTGTGAGTCTCAACATTAAGATTTTAAGCAAATATTACTGAGTGATATCAAGAACAATATTAATAAAATTAATTGTTCTGAATTCTTTTTTTCACATAACTGGATGTAAGTCCATTATTAATAATATTTTTCCAAACTGAAGTCAAGTGTAAAGACCTTGTAGAGGCCTGTGTGGGGTCTTTGGCTGTGAAGTGAGTTGATGCAAAGTGGGATTATGGTGAGGCAAGGACTGCCTTTTTTTCAGCTGCTTTTTCACTTTTCTTCACTGAGTGATTGCAACAACCTGGAATTGGCTAATTCTGCCTTCAAAAATAATGAAGATAATGGAATCACAACCTAGATTGCAATATAATTAATTTATTCTTAATCATGAATTCAAGACACAACAGTGCCCTTCACTCAAGCAGACAGATACAATTTCTTCATTTTTTTCAGTAACATTTTTCACATTCAGGTTCCTGATTGAGACATTAGTAATAGCATTTTCTATGTAAAATTTCCTTCTCCAGACCCTCCATTTTGACAAAACCAAACTTTCTTTTCTTTCCTCCAGCATGCTAATGCAACATCATCTGGATATTTCATATCTCAAGACTCAGCCCATGGAAACCTTATTTTGCCTGTTTTACCAAGATTTGAGAGCGACCAATGATGAGAACATGAAACTTTGGCAAAACGCATGGAACTCAGTTGAAGTATTGATCTTAAGTGACTGACTTTCAATGTAAAGTAGACACAAACGTCTTTGTGGCAAGCTGGTGAATGAGAAAACTTTAGAGTTTGTTGAAGAGAAAGATCTTTCTGATTAGCTCTAAAATGTGCTCCAATATACTCTGCCTCCATCCCTGTGCATTTGCTTATTTGGTTTCAGAGATGAGATGGCCTACAGTAGTCATTCAGGATATATGTACTTAAACAGTTCATCAGTCCCTATTACTCTGAATAAATTTTCAAAAATAATTGTGACAGTGATATTGTATTTGTTACCACCACAATGCTCTCTCTGCATTGTTGATTCTATTTTAATCCCAACTATTCCTTTCTTCTGACCCTTCAATCCTTTACACCCTAACATCAGAATGCATATTCTCCACACTGTTTCCTGTACATTTGCTAAGGTGCTGACAAGGAGAATTTGTTTATCGATCAAGAGCTTTTTTAGTTGCTGATCATTTCCTTTATTCTCCTGGCCTTAATGTGTGGTTCAGGGCTGATATTGTGAGGAGAAATTAGATACTAGTCACTCTTAGGGATGAACAGATTAACTCCCTACATCAGAACCCAGTTGTTCAAGGACCGATTAGCTCTAATCCAGGGTTAAATTTTAATCCGGGTTTCTCTATTCTCTTTTTCAAAGGCATTTTTCAGATAATTCCTTCAATTATTTTTAGAACATTGAGGCATCAAATAGTAGACAAAAAAAATTATATTGAATAGTTTTTTAACGCTTTCAGATCTGTGGTTAGATTTCACACTAACTCTGGGTTACCTTAGCCAAGCTTTGAACAACTCAGCCCTGATCTCTAAAAATTCTCCCTTCTAATTGTTTTTAGTATATTTCTTTGAAAATCTGTTATGAGAACTTGGTGCTGCATCAATGTAATGCATTTGACTAATGAGTTTATTAATTCTTGTTGCCTGCTTGCAGAATGATGTACTAATATTGTTAGGAGAAGTTACATGTTTTCCGCCTTAGGGATTTAAAAGGTTGGGAATCATTCCACCTCAAAAAGGAATAAATTCACAAATTTTTGGTCAACCAAATGACCACAGTAAAAAAGGTCCAAGAGTAATGAAAATAAAGCATTTTGTGTGATATAAGTGCATTGTTTGAGTATTTGAATACTGCTCTTAGGTGTCAAAGAAATCTGAACTTCCACACTTCAGAAAAATAGTAATTATGTTTATTATCAACACGAAAACGAATGACTGGCTGCATCTATTAAATTAATTACAAATGTCCATTAACCACATCTTGTCAACTGTATATTACTTTTAATAAGCCCTCACAACTCTAAAAAAATATCCTTCTTTTTATGATTAAATATAAATATCTATTAATACACTTAAACCAGATTTTAAATAACAATCAAACATTAAATAGTTACACAAACCAGCAAAAAGGTATGAATCCTACAACAGCAAAAAATAATGATAGATTATGCTGTATGTATGAAATAAAATGTGCATGTTAACTTTACTACAAAGAGGTCAAAGACAGTAATTACATAAAGTAAACTGACTGATGGTGCAGTCAACTTGAAAATCTGTTGCTGACTAACAGCATAAATAACATAACATTAACTTCTTTTCTTAAATATATTTTTTAAATGTTCAAACAGCACTTTGCTAAAACCTTGATACTTCACAAAGCTTTGGAGAATTCAGAAGGTTTTTTGTAAAGTGGATTTAAATAGTGGAGCAAGTGAAAATATTGACCACTTAAAAATTTTTTGCATAAAAAAAGCCTTAGTCTGTCCTTTCCAATCATTATTTGCTCTATCAATATGATGCATTAGTACAAGTATTTTTTTTTTCATAAATCACTGGAGAAGCAGTAAAGGTAAGGATGGGAACAGATACAATGGGTCAGTGGCTCATGATCATGTCATGAATTTTACATAGTCCCCTTAAACTTCAAAATTTAAGGTATATTGTTTGAGAAAAATTTAAATGATATAGAAGGAAATGTAATGAAGCATAAGCACATGTCTTGTGACTGTAACCTTCCATTATCTCCTTCTTATAACAACCTGTATGAGAGAAGAGAAAGTTACCAATTAATAATTAGCTATTGATTTTAAGTGAGATGTTATAGTAAAACATTATGTCAATATGATGATATCACCAAAGTTTGACGTAGAACTGTATGTTAACCACGGAAAATAACTAATGAAAGTAACTTCAAATCAACTTTCACTAATATGTAATTTTATGCCTGAAAACAACAAAAAGTGCAGCACAGCCTTTACTCCATAATAGCAAAAAGCCTTTTCTAACCACAATTTAGTAGTAGCATATCAAAAGAGGAGTCTTTAGTGGAAATGCCAATGCCTTAGATTCTTATGACACCATAGAGGTGGCATACTGTGATGCAATCTGTTCACTTTGAATTGTCTGCCACAGTCAAATTAACACTATTGCATTAGGTTAAAAATTCAAAGCTACAAAAAGCAGTTCAAAAGGAACAGCTTGAAATGAATATCTTTTTTTTAAGGAGTGTAAACTTTATCTTTTACATACCCGAGTAGGTTGAAACTGATACTGTACATGAGAAGATCCTCTCATTATGAACTGTCCACTTTGCCCTAGAGGTCGCCCTACATCATAAAAGAATTTAACTTTTTTTTCAGCTAAATACCTCTTCCTGACCAAGTTTTAAGTTCATACCATAAGTTACAAATCAAGTTTTTTCCTCTTGATTTAGGGCCCAAGGGCAATGGTTAAAAAAAAAAAAGGTTTAACTACTTACAGTACCAAACAAGAAACTGTAGTTTGCAAGATATTTATCATATCTTAGGGTTCAAATGGGGCAGAAATATTTCAACTCAACTAAATTGTAAATTTACTAAGCCATACAGTGAAATACTGTCTGCTAAATTGACAAATCATAGCACATGTATGATGAGTAGGTGAGTTATTGAAAACAAGGGCCACCTCACGTCACTCCTGGTAAACTTGTTCATTTTCATTCATTTATTAATTTCATTTTTACTTAGTCAAGGGAAGCCTAACATTGGTACAACCACATAACAAACCAGGTTTCCTTCTCACAGTAAGTGGTTCAACACATCAAATTCAGCTGAAATTCTGTTAAGTTATTCAGTACCTGTTGTGGGTCTAGACACTCTTGTCCGAGAGGTAATTGGACTTGAGATTTGCCTACCAGAAAAACAATCACACCCCAAAAAATTATCCATTACAATTTTTTAATTCAAATACTCTATAACCATATACTTCACAGAAACTCTAAGATGAGAGACAGATTAGGGGTACAAGTGTTTCCAAAAGTCTAGGCTGAAGTTTTTGTAGTCCAACAGATTCAAGAAATAGTGAGGTTCTTGGTAACAGTTGATGCTATATCCCCTGAGGTTTGGCACTAGATCATAGCAACATTTTTACAAAAAATTTATAAATTGGCACATAAAAAAATATTTCAATGCATGACTTTCAGCTATTAAAGGGATTTCTGTAATTCAGGATATTTGAGCTAGGGCTCTGAAAAAGATGTGAGAAAAGAGAGACAACCAAAGTTACTGGTACCACAGCTAACTGAAATAATGAAAGGAGTGATTCAGAGAGGAAACACTTGGGAATAATTTCAAGATAAAATTACTTGGCTCCAGTTTATAGCATTTGCCATATCAATAACATTTATATTTAAATTAAAGGATATTACCTAGGACCTCTCATAGCTGGAGAAGACTTGGGTCTTCTTTCTTCCAATCCTTCCATCCATCCTGGCAGAGGAACAGAGGCACGCTTGACAGATGCACTACTCACATCCCGGCCCCCTGCCAACCATCTGTTGGCCTGTATAAATGGAACAACACCTGGCTGGGTCGGTGATGAGGGTCGCTGTGGGGGAGGGTGGGCTGCTGAAATGGAATTCACTCTTGTTGTCGCACTCCCCACCCTAGAAGGTACTCCTTTCTCAGTAGCCTTTTTAATCACTTCAGGTGTCTTCCATGCATTTATTCTGGCGTGTTCTGTGTACGAGACCATTTCCTCCATTCCTTCAGAATCAACAGGAAAGTACTGTGCACTTTCTGAGCCAAGATCGTCCAAAGCGATGTCATCACCTTCATCCTCCATAAGAAGAAAATTTTCTTCAATTTCTTTGCTAAAGAACAAGAGAGAACTCATCAGATCCTGCTTTCCATAGTGTGAAGCAACTACAAGTAATACTAACTCCACCTGGATGGGATGCCAGTCTATCCCAAGGTTGCACTCACTCACAACAACACTCAAAGCATCAGCTTTGAAACTCTTTATGGT